GTTCTCAAACTTTTGTACTGGTGACCCCTTTCACGTAGCAAGCCTCTGAGTGCGACCCCCTTTATAAATTAAAAACACTTTTTTATATATTTAACACCATTATAAATGGTGGATGCAAAGCGGGGTTTAGGGTGGAGTCTGACAGCTCGCGACCCCCCATGTAATAACCTCACAACCCCCTGGGGGGTCCCGACCCCCAGTGTGAGAACCCCTGTGAGATATAGTAGTATGTAAACTCAGATTTAAAAGTTGAGAATTTTAAAAATGCATTTAAAACTTAAAAAAAAAAAATCACAAAAATATTTTTACATACTATTTCCTAATTTCCAACTGAAAAGTACTTCGAAATAAAATTTGTTTATTCAGTGTATGGTGATATAATGTTTCTGTGCTGCTTTTTAGAAGCCAACACGCACTGTTTTCCTTCAACTCAAGTATTTGATACAGTAGAAATAATGTTATCGTTTCAGAAATATGTCTGTTAATGCTTTCTATATCTGATATTATGTAATGGCATTCTGTGTTTACTGTTATGTAATTGCCCCTATATTTGGGAAGGCCTCTGGTTCTAAAATTAATATTTTCTTTTTATAAAAACATTGTTTCAATACTAAAGTGAAGTGTTCATGTTTTTTTAAATAATTTTTTGCTAACCTTATCTAATATTAAAAAAAAAAAAAGTTTTCTAGTTTTTGTGGCCCCAAATTCTAGTGGTGAGTACATCCTTGGAATTAACTTGGGAACTCCTGAAAGCTCCACACAGATGTGATCCTAGATACATGAAAATACTAAGCTAAATAGAGCAAAGAGTGCAAGGTATTTCTGACCAGCTCTGTCTTAGAAGAGGTTGGGAAGCAGCAGTAGCAGAGGGCCGAGGACCGGTATTTTCACTGTAATCACAAGGGAAGTGGTGGTGGGCTGGGTGAGGTGAGAAGCACAGGAGAACTTTTAAGTTAGAACTTGCACTGCAGACAGGAGAAACAAGAACTTTGTGAGCAGATTAGAACAGGCGTGTTGCAACAATTTGTATAGTGGGAGTGCTGAGAGCTATTGAACAAAACTGTAAATGCTGTATATGATGGAAACCACTTCAAGCCAGGGGGTGCGGTAGCATCCCTAGTTCTAGCACTGATGAATTAGAAGCAGTAATATGTGGTAGGAGATCCATGTCTGGATTTGTAGTTGCAAGAAAGTGGAGAGGACTAATCATGGGCTGTGAGAGAAGCAGGAGAAGGAATCAAGGACATTCTGGAGGGGGTACATTGGGGGATTTTGATGGCACTTGGATTGGGCTGATCAGGGACACAAATGGGATTTTTCTAGATCTGCAATGGTGATTGGGGAAATGGGATATCCACTGAAGATTTCCGGCTGCTGTTTGGGGAAGTGAGCGAGGATTGTATTCTTCCAGATCATTCCAACGCTGTTGGAAGGTGGGGGCTACCAGAAGCCTTAAGCCCCACTGGTTCTCAGGGCCATAAGGTAAGCTAGAAAGGGGTCAGAGGATGGGGCAGAACCTTATGCAGAGAGTGGGGTTGGGGAGGTGTGTGGCTGGAGCCCTGGTTATTGTCAGAGGAAGAATCTAGAAATATGCAAAGTATTTGAGATGGGGTGCTGGGCCAAACTAATATTTCTGTCAGTAGGGAAGAAGGGAAGCGGATGTAAAAGTGTGTGCATAATTTGCTTTCAATAAATTTTAAAATATAGAGCTAATATGTTAACGTTCTCAACTCTTAAGTTTGTCAGAGTGTAGCTGTATCAAAACTTTAAGAAATAGAAGGAAAAGAATGCATATAGGCTTCCAGAGCAGCGAATGTTTGATAATGCACATGAACTGGCATGTTACGAGAGGTCAGCCAGAAAGCCTCTATTGTCATTAACTTTTGCATGAAGAAAATTGCATAGATGACTGCAGTATTTTCAAATCAGATTTTTTCTGTCTCTTAACAAGTTACTAGTAGCAAAGAAATGTAAAATATACATGTACATGTTAAAATGATCATAACACAATGTTCCTTTTCCTCTTTTATGGAAGTCAACAAAAACACTATTCCTATCTCATTCTTATCCCCAATTTCCCTCTAATCTTCAAAGCAACCTCTGGACCGGCTCTAAAAATTGTCCATATAAAAATTATAGATGCAAAGGTTTTCATATTTTATTTGATTTGAGATTAAATCTATTAATACTATATGATAAAGTGATAGGAAATGTCACGTTTTTGTTTTGCAGGAGGAAAATGAGAAAAAGAGTCACCACAAGGACCACTCAGATAATGAATCCACATCTTCTGATAAGTGAGTTTAGATATAAATAATATACTTCTATAGTTTCTGTTCCAAGGGATATACTTGATATGTTTTCATAATTTTTACAGCTCTGGTAGGAGAAGAAGAGGACCTTTCAAAACAATCAAGTTTGGGACCAACATTGATCTGTCGGATGACAAAAAGTGAGTCTCCCTGCAATTTGTCAGCTTTTATAGTTATAAACAAAGTTGAGCCAACATGCCCACCTTTATTATTTATCTAGAGTTTTTCCTATTTTATTTCCTCACATCTAGGTTCCTTTAGCTTATTTTACTTTTTTTTGTATTTAATAAAACTATGCATACTTTATCCCTATCATTTTCTGATATTTATTTGGATTTGGCTCCCAGTTAATCTTAGAGTTGCTTATCTTATCATTGGCTACATAACAGTTGCTTCAGCAGTTTAAAAGAAATATGTGTTTTTCTGATAACACAGCAGCAGCACCATATTGCCATATAGGAAACACATATCTTTGCAAAGTGTTAGAATTCCCAACCCCTAAATTAATTGAAACCAAATGCTTATACAGTTAAATTCTTGGTGTTTTGAGGCAGTTAGATGGCAGTTGCAAAAGTTCTATAATAAACAGAAACAAATTCATGATGTGAGACTGAAAGTGTTTTTAAAGGCTGAGCTGCATGTTTTTCCTAGAGAGAGCTTGAAGGAAAGTTAGGATTTTATCATAAGGCCTCTAGGCTTCTCAGTATACTTTCCTTAGTTACAACTCGCAATCACAGTAGCATAATTGAGAGGAAGAAAACAGTGTATATAGCACCAGAACACATCCTTCCTATACAAAACATCCCTTTACATATCTCCTAGTCCGTGTCATTCTGTGTATATAAGTAAATTCCAGTCTTTTGTTCTCTCATCTTGTTTGTTCCCAAGGATTACACACAGTATGCATTAAGACTTTAAAAATGCACTTCCAAAAGACTTCATCTTCTCTCCTAACTCTCCTTTCTTAGCAAAGAGTTCTGATGGGAGGCTTGTATTTTAAGAGACTGTGCATTTCAAGAGAAAAGAATGTAGTTTGCTTCCATTGTCTTTTAGTATAATGCTGATTGGTACTAAGCGAGTGACCCTAGAGAGAGAGAGAGAGACTAGTATTCACTGGGAAAGGGGACTGGGACTGAAACGAAAGTTTTGAGAATTGGAGACTGGGGGCTTGTCTCCACTTACCAGGGAATCGACATGTCGCGATCGATCCATTGGGGGGGTCAATTTAGCGGGTCAAGTGAAGACCCGCTAAATCGACTACCAATCACTGGTCTCCAGTACTCCACCGGAACGAGATGCATAAGGTAAGTTAATGGGAGAGTTTCTCCCATCGACCCAGCATGGTATAGACACCGAAATAAGTCCCCCTAACATACGCTGACTCCAGCTACAGTTATTCACGTAGCTGGAGTTGCGTAACTTAGATCAACTTAGCCTCGTAGTGTAGACCTGCCCTGGGACTGGGACAAGGAACCAGGGGTATAGAAGAGGCAGGACTGAGACAGTGCAGGATGGAGGGAACAGATTAGTAGTAGTCAAATTTTGGGGAAATGAGCAAAAGATTCTGTGTGCACCAAAGCATACTCCTCTCCAGAGCCTGGAATAGAACCCGAGATCCCTGAGTCTCACCATTCCTCTGCTGCCAGCAAATATCTGTGAAACCCATTGGCAAAGTGTCTCATCCCCCACAGAGGATAACAACGTACTGTTGCCCACCAGTTACTCCATTAGCCCAAGTGGCAGAGGTCTGTATAGTGGATCTAAAAGTTCCAACCCTACTGATTAACCGCAGGAGTGTCAGTACAATGCCACACGATGGTATTTTTTTTTTTTTTTTTGGTGTGCTTTTTTAAAAAACCTAGAAAACTACATGCACTCATAAGTTAAGAAACATAGTCCCCTTGTGCATATGTGCAAAGACTGTATATCATGATCACATACTATTATTTCCACAGGACTCTGTCTCATTTGACATTTCCTAACTTCTGAGTGCTTGATTTTGCAACCTTAATATTTTTTAAACATAGGTTTGTGTGTGATGTATCCACCCTTCATGCCCATCATTGTATCCTCCCATTTTTTCTCATAAGCTTAATGTTCACCACTTGGGCTCTACTTTTACATTCCTCTTCCAATCACCTATACGCCACCTTTTTCTTCATTCCTTCCTCCCACTCCCACTGGAATTACTTCTCTCCAGGAAATTCATCCTGATCCATAGCCTGCCTCCTCTTCTTCGAGTGATTGCTCATGTGTATTTCACAATAGGTGTGCGTGCTTGCCATGTGCACCAGTGCTGGAAGTAGCAGTACCCATAGACGAGTGCCCCAGCGACCTCTGGAGGGGTGCCTCCATGGCGCGGTTTAAGGGGCGCTGCGCGCTCCCCCCACCCAAAGCCGCTAGTGAAGGTGCTTCGGAACTGCTCTGCTCCAGTTTCGCTGTGGCTCGTCCCCAAAACTGCTTGTTCGCTCAGTGTATGGTACCTGTAGTTAGTTAGTTAGTTTAGTTGAGCTAGAGCGGCCGGGCCAGGGTATGCCCCGTGCCCCAGGTTGTAAGCTGTGCAACACTTGTAGGCAATCTATGCCACTGAGTGGTCCGCACGCGGACTGCCTACACTGTTTGGGGGAAATCCATCTCTCAGCGATCGCTGCAAGTTTTGCAAGTCGTTTAAGCCTTGGACCAAGAGAAAAAGGAACATTAGGCTCCGGGCTATTTTGATGGAGTCGGCCCTGACCCCGGCTCCGGAGTGCTGCTCCAAGTCGGCACCGGGCACCGAGATGTCGGTGCGCGGCAACCCTTCGGTGCCATCGACTAGTCGGCACCACTCTCCTTCTTCGCCACGGCACTGGAGTAAACCCGGGACAGAGGCTAGACCCATGTCAGGCAGTCCTCGATCCTCACTGGCCTCTAGGCCTCCGACTCAAATCGAGCGGAGTAGCCTGTCCGGATGTCTGGATGCCCTCCACACCTGGAGGCCCTGAAGGTGGCCTGGGACATTATGTCCATGCCAGTACCAGGAGCACCACTGATGTCAGCCCTGCGCTCCAGAGACAAGTCACCACTGGGATCTCCGCAGTCGCCCCGGCTTGGTACCAGTCTCGATCAAGGGAACGTTCCTGACGCCGTTCGCCACCCAGCGACTGTTCAGGGCAAAGTCCACGTGGATCGCCCTTCACGCCCACGGGCTGTCTGGTTCAGTTCCATCTGACCAAGACTCTTGGCACCGCCCCGCCTCAAGGAGCAAACGCCGACGGGACCAAGGCAGATGTTGCCAAAGGTCCTCGTCTCGGAGGGGCTGTCGCAGCCAGTCACAGCACGAACGTTGATGTCATTCCCGTTTGTCATCCCACTCCAGGACCCTGCCAAGGCACTGCCTCGGCAGCACCAGACGTCGATCCCTGGCATCTCGCCATCATGGGTCCACCCGCTGGAGTCGATCGCGGAGCAGCTGTTACTGACAGTACTGGTCCTCCACGTCGGGATCGTGGTCCCGTGGTTGGCATCGCTCCTGGCACTGCCGCTCCTTCCGGTCCAGAGACAGCGGCAGGTCATATGTCAGCCCGGCCTTCCTTCGTAGTCGTCCATCGATGGGCCAGGCCAGCCAAGCCGAACAGCCGGCTCTGCCGGTGCCACAGCAGGTGCTGTGCCACCAGGCACCGTGGCTGGCTCAATGGTACCAGTGGGCACCGTGGCCCCTGACGCAGCCCCCTGGTGGAGGCTCGCTTGGTGGCCCGAGCCCCAGAAGGACCTTCAGCCTCCCTCTCCAGATCTCCGAGGAACGAGTCGGTGGGACGTACATCCTCGGCACTGTGCCCGGAGACCAACCAGGTGGTGGACCCTCCGGTGCCGGTGGACACCCAAAGTACTGCGCCGGCCTCCTCACCCTCCCCGGATGAGGCGATTATGGCCCCTCCTCCTTCCATCCCGCAGGAGGACTTTAGGGCCCACCAAGAACTCTTAAAAAGGATGGCATCAAGCCTCCACCTCCAAGCAAAGGAGATGGAGGAGCCCTCAAACTCCCTGTTTAATGTATTGTCCTCCTTGGCACCGGGCAGGGTGCTTTTGCCTCTCCATGAAGGAGTGGTGAAAATTTCAAATGCCCTGTGGCAAACCGCAGCCTCATTGGCCCCCATCTCTAAGAGAGCAGAACGCAAGTATTTTGTACCTGCCACGGGGCATGAATACTTATACACCCACCCTGCTCCTAACTCCTTGGTGGTCGAGTCGGTCAACCACAGGGAACGGCAGGGCCAACCAGCCCCTACCCCGAAAAATAAAGATTCAAGGAGGCTGGACTCATTTGGAAGAAAAATTTATTCATTCTCGAGCTTCCAGTGACGGGTGGCGAACCACCAGGCTCTCCTGGGCCGGTATGAGTTCAATCTAGGGGGCTCCCTGCCCTTAGTTCAAGCTGCAGCAGACTCCTGCTCAGGCCAGCCAGTCAAAATACAAGACCGCTTATAAGAAGTCGCGGGACTATAAGAGGTGCCCACAGAGGCATTCTCGGCCTGCTCCCCAGCCTGGGTCCTGCAAGGGCAAGCAAGCGGGGAAAAGGCGGTTTTGATGGGATGCCTGGGGGTGCCCTGCCAGTTCTCAACAGGGATCCACCCCCAATAAAGCTTCCCTTCTCCATTCGGTTGTGTGTCCTCCGGGAGTGGTCGCAGCTGATCTCGGACTGATGGGTCGTGAAACTATCTCCCGGCTCAGACAGGAGGTACGGCGGCTCTTGCTCTTAAGAGTGGTGGAAGCGGTACCGGGGGAGTTTTAAGGCAAGTGGTACTACTCCCACTATTTCCTTATCCCGAAGGCCAAAGGGGGGGCTCAGGCTCATCTTGGACCTGCGAGGCCTGAACCAGTACATAGTGAAGCTCAAATTCCACGTGGTCTTCCTGGCCTCCATCATCCCCTCCCTGGATCCCGGGGCCTGGTATGCCGCCCTCGATCTGCAGGACGCATACTTCCACATTCCGATATTCGAGGGGCACAGACGCTTCCGCTGTTTCACTGTGGGACAGGAACACTACCAATTTACGGTCCTCTCGTTTGGCTTGTCCACTGCCCACAGAGTATTAACGAAATGTATGTCGGTGGTGACGGCCTACCTCAGGTGCTGGGGGGTCCAGATCTTCCCCTATCTGGA